GGATATAATTTTTCTTGTGGGATTGAAACTCTACTTTTCACTTTATTACTTGATTGTAATGTTCATTTTCATAGCAAGTTAGAAAGAGCATTAGTGTTTACTCCCATCACTTATTAGAAGGAAGCGAACTTGTTTGGGCTTTTTTAGAATTTGCGTTCAACTTGTCAATGTGACAGGCCCAGACTAGAGAGGTGACTTCATTTTTTGAACTTAAACTTGGTTGAAAGCATGGTTATAGCTCTCCTAAGTTTGTTGGCCTTGAATATTTTAAGGTTGAGTTAGGCTAGCTAGTTTGATTATAGTTCCTTTATACTTATGAAAAGTAAGTAGTTGGCCAGCTCCGAGCTTTGTGAGTGGGAATCTATCACTCTTTTACTTTAACTTCCCAACTCACCTATATGAGTTCCATAAATATTGGTCAGGTATTAATGGACATTTATTAAAAAATGGCCAAGTCAATTAGTTAGGCTAAGGAATGTGGGATAGTTCCCCAAACATGTTCATGTAAAAGCGGACAAGTTTACTAATCATTATTTTAATTTTAGGTACATATATATCCTACAGACTCACTCTTCTACCAACTTGCTCATATAAAGAAAACAAAAAAGATTCATTATCATTATAAATAATCTCATACACATATAAGCATAAAAATTTCCCTTAAAGTTAGAAAGTCTTCAAGTCATCTTCCATTAACATTCTCAACACCTTTATTCTTGAGTGGTGACTTCTCCTTGATGTGAGGATTATAGTACTTGGCCATCTTCCTTTTAACTTCTTCCTTTCTGAGTGTGCCTTGTGCTTGGAGATCCTCTAATAGGTCAATTGCCATTTCCAAACCTTATTTTTTCTTCTCTTTCCTTACCAACTTGCCTTCACTGAAATTAACAGCTTCACCCACTCATTAACTACGTATTTTAAGTTCCACTAGGAGCAATGCTTCAACACCATGGGAGAGACCAAAAAAAAGTTTTTTTTTCCAATTACCAAAGTTGAAGTTATTCTTAGTGCCCAAAAGACCAAGGGATGTGCCTCCACCCATTTTCCCTTTGCTTCCTCCACCTTCTTCTTGAGAAAGATTTACCATATTATGGTTCATTACCTCCACATATCCATTACTTTATGGATGGTGTACTAAAGCAAACATAAGGTGAATGTCATCTGACTAATAGAAGTGCTTGATGCATTTTTTTTAGTGAACAGTAGCCTACTGTAAGTTATGATAATGAGGGGGATTCGTATCTACAAATGTATTTCAATAAGAATTTCTTAATAACCATGGATGTTATGTTGGCAGGTTCTTTATCTTCTATCCTCATGGTAAAGTATTATATTATTACAAGTATAAACTTTTTTTGGCCAGTGGATCATGGGAAGGGTTTAAATAGATTCAAACCCCGTATGGTGAATATCGATTGGTTATTAATTAGTTGAATTTTATGGAATAGGCGCACTACATAGGAGCAAATTTCAAGCACTATGGGTATCTCCATGAGAATTCATCTACATCTTTACTTAAAGTCGTCCAAAAGTACCATTATCTTATAATTGTACATGCAAGTATCTCTCAACCAAAATGGCTCCCACATTGGCCTGAATGAACCTCCTTCAATACCATTTCCTTCTTATCTTCTCAACTGAAATGTAGATTATGGGAAGTTGCTGATCTCATGAATAACTCTCCTCTATATATCATGTATTTTTTTACCTTAATCTTGAATTAACATGAATTTATGATCACAACACTTATTTTTTCAATATTCAAGTCTCAAAAAGTGAATAATTTAAACTTGTCAGGTGATTATTGTCCACCTACATACTTAATTCATTTTCAATGGTCAGCCTAGTTAGTTTTAAGATGGGTTGTCCTTCAAGATTGCCCTATTTTGAAAGAAGGTACATGACTTGATTCAAGTCTTGAGGTATATATGCCAACTTGAAGTAGGTGTGCTTGTTGATTGTTGTCTTTACTTTGAAGAGGTACTTTAACATCATCTTTTCTCACAATTCATAGACATTATATATATGACTTACCATTCATTGAAAGTCAAAATAAACCACCATCTGCATTACTTCTATTCTTGTGGTAAGTTGTAGACTGATGAGTAAGGCCTCATACTTTGCATGGTTATATGTTATTAAAAATTGTATATTGGTTTCCTGGTTGATTTTTATTTTAATTGGGCTCATAAAAAACTTGTCTTCTCCTAAGCCTTACTCACTTGAGGCTCCATCCATGTATATTGTCAAAGGCTATTGTAACACCTTTAAGGCTTTCTGCTAATCACTTGGGGTATTTAGATATACTAGGAAGTTCGCCAATGCATAAGCTCAAATAATTGTCCTTTATGTGTAGGTGATTTGAAACTCACTCAACTCGACATATCAACTTAATAGTCTGCTAGAGTTGTCTAGTTTGGTGATTATGGCCTTGAGTGATTGATCAATGATAACCTGGATTGAGTGTGCCTGAAAGTAAGGCATTAGTTGCCAAGTAAAGACTATAAGGGCTCATGCAAGCTTCTTCATGATAGGGTATCTTTCTTATACACCTCTTATTATCTTACTTACATAATAGACTAAATATTTTATTCTTCTTCTCGTATGAACACAGAGCTAATTGTATCCTCACCCTCTCCTATGTATAATAATAAGTCCTCACCTACTCATAGACTTTGAATTAAAGGTGGTGAACATATAAAGAGTTAAGCTATTAGAAGGAGGCCTCACACTCCTAGCTCCAAACTAACCTTTTGACATTTATCAATATCTTGAAAAAGGCGAATACCTTTTGTCGAGCCTAGGGATGGAGCAATTGAGCTTGATGACTCTCCTAGTGAGCCATTATACTTTCGTAAAATTCCTAGGTGAAGGTATCTCTAGGGTTGCTTTTACTTTGTCTAGATTGACTTATATGTCTTTGTGTGAGGAGGAACTCTGAGAACTTGGTTAACCCTACACCAGAGGAACATATTAGTTTATTATGTCAGATATTATACTTTTTTTTAAAGTGGCAGTTATCTACTTAAAATATTGGATATGTAGTTCATGAGACTTGCTTTCACCAGTAAGTCATCCATGTATACTTCAACATTTCTCCCCTTTTACTCCTTGAACATATGATCCAACATTCTTTAGCCCAAACAACATCACTTTGTAGTGGTATAAACCCTCATCAATGATGATGATCATTTCCTCACAATCATTAGGGTGCATTTTAAACTAATGATACTTAGAAAAGGCATCTAAGATGCTCATCAATAAGATTTTGAATGTCGAGTTTACTCAAAACTTGGTCTTGGGAAGTGGATAGTCATCCTTTGGACATACCGAGTTAGGATTCACATCCTTTTTTTTCAATTGACTTCTACACCATTACAATATTAGATATCCCGTCAAGATTTTATATCTCCTTATCAAAGTTTGCGTCATGTGGCCTTTTCACTTCTTGTTTAATAGGATTGACAAGCATAACCATTATCTTTCTAACTTTCATTTTATAGGCCAAACATCTCTTCGCACATTAAGTTTTTGGCAAGTGAATTTTTTGTCAATAATGATATCTCGGTTATTGTCAATATGAAAGCATCAAGGTCATCCCTAAGAGCTTGGATGTGTATTCCTTGGTGCTTTGAACTAAAATACTTGCTTATTCTTAGCTTTCTCTCAAACTCACCCTCTATTATTAGGACATCCTCAACTACTTATGTACTCTCCGATCTTCATCTAACATCAAGTTGCAATACTTCATTTAGGGGGTTCACCACTTTCCCTGCTACATTCGAGTAGCATGCACAGGATAGCGTAAAGATGCCTTTCATATTATTCTCCCAACTATCTATCAGGAATTTGACCATCATATGATAAGTTGAGATCACTACCCTGAATGTAATTAGGAGAAGTATCCCAAAGATGATGCATGTGGTTGGGGAATCCATAATGATGAAGTTCACCATTATTGTCTATTGTTGGTCACCTTCATCACAGGTGACTGACATGGTGATTAATATTTTTGTAGCCCTGCACTCACCTAAAAAAGCATATATTGGCCCTACAATAGGGAAGAACTAGGAGGTCAGAAGATTTATTATACCAAAAACTAATTTAAAAAATGAAGTTAATAGATTCCCTATGCCAAATTAATGTATTGCCAATCTAGTAATTAGTTACTAGGGTGGTAATGACTACTTCATCATTGCAGGGATTCCCACTGAAGGCCTATCTAATTCACAGAAAGTAAGTGGGGTGACATCAATCATCAATGCCCATAAGTTAGTGGCTGAGTTGACTTCACCAATTTTGGGTTATTTAGAGTTACTCGTCATGAAAGATTCTTCTCATTCTCCTCCCATGATGGCAAGCACCACTCCAATGATATGAATATAACAAGCAGGGATGCGTCATTTAAATTACTCTCCATTAGGGCATTCCTTGGGTGTCAAATAGTGCCAACAATCCTTTAAATTTTTAGCCTTGATGACATCTTCAAACAGACCACGAAGATGGCAACACTCTTCAGTGTCATTAAAAGTGCAATATCTCAACATGTTCCTTACATGTGCACTTTCCTTTATAGGCATTGGAAACTTTAAGAACTCTTTGTTTTTTTATGCTCTCTATTAGCTCAACCATTGGCACTTGTAGAGGGGGTAATTGCAGGATAAATGGGGGCATGTTGCACACCTTTTTCTTGCATGTCGACTAAAAATATGAACAATTCAATTTGTAATCCTGATGAATTTTATGTATATAATAAGTTTTTATCCTCTTATATCTTTGATTAAGTCATTGCATTGAATAAATTTCATCTTCCACCAAATCTATTATGTTTAAGGTGATAATCATTTAAACTCACCAATTAAATTGATTTGCACGCCTACTCAAAACACCTAAAGAAGGTAAATTACATAGCTAAGCTGAAACTTTACTTGCTATAACATGCATGAGCTATATAACCAAATTTTATATGAAGTAATCTCTAAACCAGCATCAACTAGGTCTTTGATCTCAGATCTAACCTTTTATTTTCATTAGAATTCTAACTCAAGATTTAATATTCAGAAACAATTATTGTTCTCAACTCAAAATTTCTAAAGCAAACCATACAGACAAAAAAAAAAATGTTCTCATAAATAACAGAAATAAATAAATAAAATAAGAGATGCATTTCACACAAATTTCACGCCTTCTCCATTGACCACAACACCAATTCGGTAAACTGAATCATACTCTGCAAGAATCCTCTCTGATGCCTCGGGGGTCACAACGGCCACTAAGCCTATGCCCATGTTGAAGGTTCTCCTCATCTCACCATCATCTATCCCTCCAGCCTGCAAAAGAAAGATATTAAGATGTTCATGGAATTTATTCAATGAGATGTCCAATATTGAGATGGAGTGGCATTGAATACTAAATTTTAATGAAGTATTCTGAGGGGCTCAAAAGTAGAAGTTTTGATGATCACAATCCATGGAACAGGTTTTACGAGAGAAGCACAAGAATAAGAAAGATAAGGTAATTCAAATCCAGTAAAATTCTCAAATTCATATCAAAAGCATCAGCTTGCTGAAAACTTCAAACTTACGAGCTATTATTCTGTGCGTACACTGGACGGGAGAATCGTCCGGATTAATATTGGGTATCCAGCGGTACCGAGGGGTACCGAGTTGGTTACTCAGCAATGGAGTGACGTGGAACAATTTTATCGGTCTCTGGACGCCCTCCGGACTCCGCACAGAATAATAAATCCAAACTTACACATTTCAATCAGAATGTGTGCTTATCTAATGTTTTTAAAAAACAAAAGTATCCAATTCATAATGCTACAGTTAGTGCAGGACTTGAAGATGAAATAAAAATTGAAGTACATTGTTCATTTGTGTTATTGTTAGGGGTGAAAACAATCTGATTTTGAGCCATCCAAACACGCCATCAAAATTGGCTCATAGACTGTTAGAAATTGGATCATAGCTCCAACCGATTAGATTTCAAGCATGCTCAGCTAAAACGATAAATTTCAAGCAAATAAAAATAAACTTTCGACCAATCAAATGCTGACTCAATCAAGGTGAAGCCCAGATCGAATTTAGGACAAAATTAAAAAAATTCTATCTGCCACTCTATTCAATTTTTTTTTCAAACAAAAATGTCAATCTTTAAGCTGAAGTCTCAAAATTATTTTCATGATTCAAACCCGCAATCTCAAAATCCAAATGGAGAAAAGCTGGTGATTGATACAAGTTCACTCATAATCTAAGAAACATATTTTCTTACCTCTTGTAACCATTTAAAAACAGCAGGCACGTCCCAGGAATTTCTAAAGATACTGGCCCCAAGGCCAGGAGGGAACACTCTTGGGATGTTGTCAGTGAAGCCACCACCAGTGATGTGAGCAATTCCTTTAACGCCACCCTTGCTTATAATGTCAAGAACCTGTGCATAATATAATCATAAGATCTCTAAAACATGTATCAAAGACAAAATTAAACAATAGAAAAAGGGAAATTTACATACATACCATTTTATTTCATGCTATTTATATATCTAACACCTAAAACATTAATATTACATGTCTACCACCCATAGAACAAATTGGGTGCATTAAATGAAATATTAAAGTTTATAAGATAGTATGATGAATGGTAGAAATGAATTATAGGAGTGATATATTTGATATTAAAATTGTATATGGGTGGTAGACATGTAATATTAATGTTTTGGGTGTTAGATATGTAAATAGCATGAAATAAAGTGGTATGTATGTAAATTTTCATCAAAAGAATTCAGGCGATAGACCTGCTTAACATAAATAACAGTTGGTGCCATCAGGGCTTCCCCCAGTGTAAATGGTCCACTGCCATGGCCAGGAAGTTGGTCACTCAAAGAAAGATTGCTTTGTGATAGAACCCTAAAAAAAAAAAAATATGATGGTAGATGACAATTAGCCCAACATTTGATGGATTCAGTAGTAAAAAGGAATAGAAAGTTGACAACCAACCTTCTGACAAGAGAGAAACCATTGGAGTGGACGCCACTGGATGGAAAACCAATTAGAATATCACCAGATTTGATGTTCTTCCCATCAATTAACGAGTCCTTCTTTACAATACCAACAGCAAAACCGCTTAAATCATACTCACCTTTTGCATAGAAATCCGGCATTTCAGCTGTCTACAAACCAAGAATGATAGGATACATCACCGCATTAGATTATACTAGAGCCTACGTTTTATGCTTTAATCTATAAAGTATGAAGATTAAGTTCAAAAAGCAAGCAAAAAACCAAATGTTGGATTCAATTAGGCTCACTGGTACATTTGAAGCCAAATTCAAAAAGAAAAATAAAATTTAAGCCAGAAAAGAGAAGGAATTCCAACTTAAAGCACCCAATTTTGAATTAACTTAAGCTACATCTCATGTAAGTCTTTATGAGCATGGTTTCTGTCTATTCTTACACGGGTCCCTGTTTTTCAAGACGGCAATGTGATGCGAAATAATATGCAAAGGAGCTTGTTAAAAAATTTAAAGAAGCATTGATAAAGAAATTACACGTAATAACTTATTGAAATGACAAGTAAATTTCCTTAAAGAATTTCAGTTTTCAACTAGCTTAGGCGAGGAAGTACATGAAGATTAGCTAAACTCCAAGATAACCAAAGATAGTAGTAATACTAAAAGCTATTAATCATCAATCCACAACTTAAAAAAGAGAGTTTTCACCTTGGGGAAGTGTCACTCGGCTACACTAGGCTTAGCGGAAGAAAGGTTTTAGCAAACCCGACGATGCCACGAGAATGGTAGCAACCACAACAGTCTTGATCCACGGGAAGGTTATCGGTGGCGAGGACGATGGAAATGATCGACCGTCGAAGCTCCAATTGTAATTTGGTTGTCGACGATCAATGACACTTGCAAGGGTAGGAATCACTCTTTCCAAGTAATCTCACGGTGGCGTCGTCTTCAAATCCTACGTCAAAGAATGGTGACCATAGGATATTCAAGCTTTCATCGGCGTTGAACACAAGACCCCACTCAAGCTCCGGATCCGCCATGCATGCTTGTGGTTTGGGGAATCCTTCAAGGGGTAGAGGTGAAATACATGGCGTTGCGAGAGAGAGAACTTTGTAAAATCTAAAAGAAGAAAGGGGAAGGAGAGACGGGACGGGATTTCCCAGAGGAAGAGGGGCGGCGGCTCAAGGAAGGGAAGATTAGGTTAGGGAGAAAAGAGAACAAAGGAGTTTTAATCCAAAACCTGAAATTAATTTCAGGTTTTAAGTGGATTTGGAGGGAAATTCCAATTGAAATTAGTTTCAAATTTCAAAGGAATTAACGGGGGAATTAATGGGCAATTATTGGAGGCTCCTCTATGATGGCCGGCGGCATAGAGAGGATGGGGAGGGATTTAGGGAGTTTCCAAAGATGGAGGACGGATTAGGAAAGTTTTCATGAGATCCAATTTATTTGAATTTCAAACTGGGATCATGAATAAAAACTTTCGTTAATAGGAT